ATTATATATGTTATTTATAGAATAATGACAGCAATAATATCACACATTAAATGTTTAGGGTCAGAGTAAAGCTGTACAAAGAATCACATTTATAGACAATGATTTGATACTTTATTTAAAGAAAAAAAGATTTTAAAAATCATTCAAATCAAGAAGTTAGAAATAAAACCACAAAACTAGATTGAGAAAAGCACGGTAGAGAAGTTAATAAAAATGACAAAATTTAATAAATTTGTCTGAAAAAATTTGAATTGCTGAAAAACTGAAAAAGAAATTGAATTGCTAAATAAATTCAATCTTTCATTCTTTTTAAAATAAAATAGTCAAAGTCTGGGAAGTACAAAGACATTTTTATAGGAAAAAAATCACAAGTTATACAGGCACAGAGAAGAGAAAAAATATAACTATTAAGATAATGATAGTTCTAACTCCATGTAAGTAGTTTAAAAATTTTAATTAAGTAAATAAGTTTATTAGAAAACTTAAATTGTCAAAATAACAACAAAAATTAAAAACAGGAGTAATCTAATAGTAAGGATTTAAAATGAGATTTTTCAACAACAAACTAATTTTCATGATGAATCATAAGTTTAAAATGCTATATAAAATTTAGCAAATAAGAAAACATTTAAATCCATGACAAAATAAAGTATACCACAGAGGGCTTCCTTGGTGGCGCAGTGGTTGAGAGTCCGCCTGCTGATGCAGGGGACACGGGTTCGTGCCCTGGTCTGGGAAGATCCCACGTGCCGCGGAGCGGCTGGGCCCATGAGCCATGGCAGCTGGGCCTGCGCGTCCGGAGCCTGTGCTCCGCAACGGGAGAGGCAACAACAGTGAGGGGACCGCGTACCGCAAAAAAAAAAAAAAAAGTATACCACAGAAAGATAAGGACAGATCAATAATCAGAAATTTTTATTTGCGACATAAACATGTCACAGGGATGAAATGTATGTGTGGGGAATATAGTTAACAATAACGTAATAACTTTGTGTGGCGACAGATGGTAACTAGAATTATCATGGTGATACTGTTGTAATGTATAGAAATATCAAATCACTATATTTTGCACCAGGACCTAACACAGTGTTGCAGGTCAATTATACTTCAGACAAACAAACAAACTCACAGAAAAAAAGATGAGATCTGTGGTTAGCAGAGGAGGGCATAGGGGGAAGGGGAACTGGGTGAAGGCCGTCAAAAGGTACAACTTCCAGTTATAAGGTAAATAAATAAGTACTAGGCATGTAATGTACCACATGATCAATGCAATTAACACTGCAGTGTGTTACATATGAAAGTTGTTTAGAGAATACATCCTAAGAGTTCTCATCGCAAGGAAAATATGTTTTTTTCTTTTATTTTATACCTAAATAAAATGATGAATGTTCACTAAACTTGTGATAATCATTCCACGATGTATGTAAGTCAGATCATTATGCTGTACTCCTTAAACATATATAGTTTATAAATTTATACTGTTATGTCAATTATATCTCAATGAAACCAAAAGAAAAAAAATAAGTGAGTTATAAGATACACTGCTATTTAACATTGTTTCAACGGTTTTAGGGAAAGCAAAAAGGAGCCTGGAATCAGAGGCATTACCACAGGAGGAAAAGGAGGTGTTTCATGAATTACTGGGATAAGCATTGTATCCTAGATGGATTAAAATATTTTTAAAAGGAATTAGATTTATTTCAGTGAATGAAAAATATACAACGTTTGCAGAAAAGAAGACACAGCATTCACATGCCAGTTCTTTTCAAATTAATCTATAAATGCAACATAAAATCAATTAAAATTCCAGTGAGAATTGTGAACACAATGCTTTACACTTTTTTCTCCACATTAAAAAAATAAAATGATTCAAATGAACTTATATACAAAACAGAAACAGACCCACAGACATAACAAACTTATGGTTACCAAAGGGGAAAGTGGGGGAGGGATAAATTAGGAGTTTGGGGTTAACATAAACACACAATTATGTATAAAAAGGACAAACAACAAGGTCCTGCTGTATAGCCCAGGGAACTATACTCGATAGTTTGTAATAAACTATAAGGGAAAAGAATCTGAAAAAACATATATATATATGCATATAACTGAATCACTTTGCTGCACACCTGAAACTAACACATTGTAAATCAACTATACTTAAATTAAAAAGAAATGACTAATAGATATTTATCTACTTCATTCACTGCTCTGTAACAAGCGTGTAGAATAGAAAAACACACTCAAAAATAAATATCTCTGTGCATCAGAAACAAGAGAGTACAGGACGTAGGGTCTGAAGCCACTGGTCACTGCGTTCTGACCTGAATTACACACAGCAGCTAGGAATCGGGCCCCTGCGAGGTAACGGGGACTAAATGCACTCGTATAGGGATGCAGAGGGACCAGAGCCCAGCTTAGTGTGTGACACCTGGGTCTAGAGCCCCACCTCTCCCGGGAGGAGGCTGAGAAGGTGACGTGGAGGCTGCTCATCTTCTAGGCCAGGTCCCAGAGTGAGACCAAGATCTGGCGATGCGAGGACTCACATGGGCCATCCACCTGTGGCCGCAGGACGGGAGCCCCAAACTTTCAACATACGACCTGGCCCTGGACGAGAGATCTAGGGAGTAAATAGTGGAAAGAGCGGCAAACTGATACACAGGGGGTGACAGCAAAAGAGAGAATGAGAGTAAAATCACATAAACTCACTCGCGAGGTAAACCAGCAAATTCTCTAGCCATGAAAAAACCAAAGAAGAAAGTCCCAAAAAATAAACAATTAAGACATGAATTACCTCCTGATGAAGACAAATTCATCAGGATGAATAAATCTAAGATAGATATGCAAGGATTCTATAAAGAAAAGTGCAACATACTGAATTGATGCTTTTTAAATGACCTGAATAAATGGGTAACTACCAGACTTAAGGATAAGGAAGACAAAATATCATAGAGATGCAAATCTCTTCAAATTATAAAATAAATTTGATTCAATTCCAATCAAGATTCAAATATTTTGACATTCTTATACAGGTTACCAAAATGATTCTAAAAGTAATACCTCGTAAAGGGCCCAAAGTAATCCAGACTGTCCTGGAAATGAAAAACCAGGAAGACTGATAGGTGGTGCAACCCACCAGGATGCATCTGAAGCAGGAGATGGTAAAGCTGAGTCCCAGCCTGGCTGAGCACTCGGTACAGAGCAGAAGATGCTTCCAACTGACAGACAAAAGACACATAGCTGTAAAAATGGCCTTAGGCAAACTGGAATTCGGGATCAGAAAAAAAAAATCAGATTGTTTTTCCATTACACCATATATTCAATTATAAACTCCATATAAATTAGAAACATGAATGCAGAATAGAAGCCTCTGAAAAGAAACTATGGAGAATAGTTTTATTACTTTAGAAAGAGAATTTCCTGAGACTCAAAAAGCAAGAAATAGCAAAGGAAAAAAAAAGAATAAATCAGTCTTATCAAAACTGAGAACCTCTACACACACAAACTTTTAAAACAGAGTTAAAATACAAGGTACCACTGAAGATAATACTTAAAACATATAAAGCACGCAAAGGATTAATTACTAGTTGAATGTATTAAAAACTCGTACACAATGAGTAACAAAAAGACAACCTTATAAGAAAAGAACAATGGTCATGACAGTCGACTGGCAGAAAGAAACCCCGGGCAACAGCTAAATGTGGGGAGAGCGCTCCGTCAAGTTCATGAGTCATCAAGAAAATGCAAATTAATCTAACAATGAAATGGCATGCCCACTAGGCTTCTAAAAAATTAAATCTTTTAATAAATATTGTTGAAGAGGATTATGAAATGTTCATGCAATAAGTGTAAATGAAGTCTACACAATGATCTTTATGATTGTGTCTGATTTTAAAATACACATTTCTCTACATATTTAATCACCTACATTTCACATACATACACACACACACGCAGATAATAGATAAAATTAGATATATACACACAGATATCTATGCATGTTTAAATTAAACTAGTAGGAGACATACGAATATTAACACTGGGTTTTAGGATCACAGGAACAATTTCTGTCTTCCTGGTGCCTGGCACATCGTAGATGGACAATAAACTATTTGTTGATGCAAAGAATCAGCTAATTAATGGATGATTATGACATTTTTGAACTTTTTTCAATTATGATATTTTTGAACTTTTTTCAATTATTGTATTTGAACCTATATAAGAAAAATCTGAAGTAAATTACTTCCAAGTCTACTTAGGAGTAACTCGAGGATCCCAGGTAGACAGACTGTGAAATCAAGTCCAGCACTGAGGACTTGGTGGCTATTTATATCATGACCTTCAGAGAATGTAGCACAAGGCATGTCTCTTTCTTTACGTCAGTTCAACGACAGATTTCTAAAATCTGTTATCAAGTTACAATGAATTCACTATAGTAGGAAAAGCAGAAAGATAGAGGCCAGGACGTCATCACACAGCACTGAGAATCAGAAGAGCGGGGTAGAGGATGGGATTTGGGAACAGTGATAGGATTGGGACGCACACGAATGGCACGCTATTGGAAGACTAGCTGGAAAACTGCTGTACTGCCCGAAAGATGAGGTCCGGGTGGGGAAACGATGAAACCACCATGCCCCTTCTGATCCCTGCACTGAGGGAGGGTGTCTGAAGCTCCAACAGATGGCAAAGCAAGAAGAACCAGCCCCTGACTACTCCTTGCTCACCTGGGTTCATGGGGCAGAGCAGCCGGCGCCCCTGGAAGGGGTCAGCCCTGGGCAGCTTTTGCCAACACCTCCTCTACCCTCTGGCCAGAAGCGTCAAGTTCATTTCATTCCCATCTGGAGGCTCTTTTCCCCCTTGTGAGGAGTGGTCATTGGAAAGTAAATTGGAGGGAAATGATCTCCTCTGACTTTAGTGCACAGGACTGAAGGGAGGCTGGGGGTCTCTGGCCTTGATGATTATCTCTACAGGCAGCAAAACAATTAAATCTGATTAAATCTTACCCCATGGGAGTCCTGAGGATGGTGTGTCCCGAGCTCGGAGGCAGGTCCCCGGTCAGCATTTTGAATATGGTGGTTTTCCCAGCTCCGTTCACCTGTAGAAGCCGAAAGCACTGAGAGGAGAAAACAAACCAACCATAAAATCAAAATTATATCGGAAACAGCACTTGCTTTCACCCAACTCTGAGTTGATATTTTTGGCTTGTGTTATTTGTAGACTTGTACAATCATAAAATAAATGTATAACGCGTTTTATAGCTCATGCAGTACTTCTGAAATCACCGTGGCATTTGAGTGGTGTAATTTCAGTGTTAATTCACAGACGAGTAAGCAAATTCACGTCTGAAAAACTCCAGAGGATGAGAAGTAAAGGCCAACTACCACAAATTATGCTGAAATTTCCTGTCCTATCCAGGGTGCATCCAACAGGCTCCCAACTATGTCCCTCTGGTAAGCACAATATTTTTTAGGAGTCACATCATCGTTATCATTATTATTCCCCTGCCTTCCTCTCTGTCTCTGTCTCTGAATCTCTCAGTCTCTCTGGCTCTCTCCTCTCACTCCGACTGTAGCCTAACGCTGACACTAATCAAGAAGGCCCTCTATTCCCATACTCTCGCTCAGCACCCGGTCACATCTCCTGCTTCACTCTGTCTTACATTCCGTGGAGGAAACAATGGCCTCGCTCTTTCACGGCCCCAGCCTCTACCTTGAACCTTTGGATATCCTTAGCTGGGGATTCTGTGGTGGAAGCTGAGACGTTTTCATTCTTACTGATCTCCTTCCAGAACACTTGTTTCCCGATGTCTCCTGACCTAAGCTGGCTTCCTGGTTCCCTGAACCCTGGAAAAGAGACTGTTCTGGGTTTCTTCTGGCCAAGCCCACCTGATTATCACAGAACCCTATTTTGTAGCTCCAGGTGCCACCTGCTTCAACACTCATGCTTCCCCCACCTTGACTGGGTCTCTCCCACACTCTGATATAGGGGTCCATCCTGCTGCAGACCTGTCCTGTCCCATGCCACTCGTGTCACAGACCACACCTGAGCTGCTATCCCAGGTACAAGCCATCAGCCTATCTGAACTCTATCTACCCTCCTGGCTTAGGCGTAAGTTTAGCTGAACCGTCCTTTTTCATAAAGTTCTGCACACCCCCTGCCTTCCCCACTCCCACGATGCTCCCGTTCCTCCTTCGAGGCCCCCTCTCTGGACTTACAGCTCCGAGGCGATTCACTCTGTACCTTTGACCCTTGCCCTGCTGTTACGCAACACTGTGTATGTTTGTGATCTCCCATTTCCCACCCGATTATTAATTCCTAGAGGGACGGGGACACATCTTAGCCACCCGTCTCTTGTGCAGGCTCTTGCATAGGACTTTACATCTAAGTCATTAAACTCAGATGCTCATAAACAGCCTAATGAAGAGAACCCAAAGGTAAATGCATCTTGGATCATTTCAGAGACTTGGAGCATCTCTCATAGGAAGTTTTCCAAGTTCTTCTCTCACACTTCAGTTTAAAACTAAAGGAGAGGTAGTAGCAAGACAGAAGTTTATATTTTAAAGCAAGGGTAAGAAAACATTTCCATAAGATGGCAAAAATCACGTAGCTAGTCTTAGAGTTGAGTAGCCAACAACTGCACAAACCACTTCTTTAATTTCTGTCCCATTTGACCACACACCTCGGTGAGGGTCTAAGGGTCCCTCGATGGATCCAGACCCATCTCTTGGCTTCTCTTCACCTCAGATCCGCTCACAAGTAGAGCATGGATGCCAATCAGATAACGATATAACATACTTTGAATCTCTCAGAAGCTTGGTACAATGTGAATGCGAGATACTCTTTTTCTTTTTAACAGTTAATTAAAGGTAATCATTTCCAGAACTGATTTCCCTTTATGCATTAAACACATGTTGGGAACAATTTGTATGGCTTCTGTCAGTTCAGATTAAACATTTCTACTAGAATTAATGACACACACATTCATGGAAAAACAACTCTGAGCTATGGCTATAGTGTGTGAGTGTTTCTACCTTTCCAGAATAGCATATTACTAGACGGGCTTAATTGGCCACTTACAGAGTACTGAAGTCCAAGCAGGAGTTAGAAGTGGTTTCCTTAATTAATTGGATTTATAAAATATTTGCACTCAATAGAGTCACCCCATAAGCCAAACTAATTAAAACTCCCTGATCACTTACATTTTAAAAATTATGAAACAGAAAAAACCCCATCACTCAATCAGCAGAGTTTTCACTAGGGAAAGAGCCGACTGACTCTCCATCTAGACCCTGCAGAGATTCCTGAAATGTGAAGCTGCTCTTAGTTTCCATTTCAGATATCCTGAGAATAACACGAACAGATGGACAATTAGAGTGACCCTGGTTTGCAACAGAAAAGGTACAAACAGAAGCTCTCTTACCTCTCCCCTGTGTAGGCCCAAGCTAATATCTGATACAGCGGTGGCCCTCTTGAAGAAGCCTCTGTAACTCTTACTAAGGTTGTACAACACGAGAATGTCTCCACCAGTTCTGCCTTCCAACACCCTCACTTGCTCTTTTTCAACATCTACGTCCTTGGAAGATGTGACTGTGCCTCGAATGGCAGAGTGGCCCCTGGGAGGGTAAGTCAGAGTTGATTCACACTTGGGAAATGGACTGGAAGAATCTAGAGGGAGAGAAAGGTCAGAGGTCATCTGAACAGAAGACGTGGTCCCCAGAGTCTGCGGTACCGTCTCTGGCCCACGCACCCGAGTTCTGCATCCCGTTGGCCAGTTACTATCAGGGGTCAACATTCATCCTCTAACGCAAAGGAAATGTACATCAGCCTGAAAGACAGTGATGTGGATGGACACCAAACTCAAACTACTTTTCAATTTTATGAGCAATAAAGTCATGCCAGACTTTTGTGCTAGAGGACAAGTAATTTATCGCAAAGTTATAAGAAATCAACTTTGACCCCTTTTAGCAAACAGGCTCTTTAATAAAGTAGATTACGCACAAAAGTCCCCAAACACTACGGCTCCATAGCATGTGCTGGATGGTGTAGAAGGATGCACAGCAAGCACTCAGCAGACACCTGTCAGATGAACATAAAGGGAAGTTTCACCTCTGATTTGTTGACTCAAAATCTGAGCCAGCTCACTTTCCAATCTTCCTGATGATTTTCTTTCTGGTGCATTTTAGCTTTCAAGTAAATCTTAATTTCTGCAAACTGTAATATGCCAATATTTTAATAACTAAATGAGTACAGACAATGAGACAGCATTGTACCAACATCAATTTCCTGGCTTTATCAATGTAACATTGTGATGTAGTGTATTATTATATTACCACAGTATCACTGGGAGGGCACATAGGCTCTGTCTGCACTAATCTTGCTATTTCTTGTGAGCTTTAAACTATTTTAAAATTAAAAGGTATTAAAAATAAAATAAAATATCCATATCTAGATCCCAGTGGCCCCAACTCCTTTCCCTGTATTATTTTTTCCATACCTGCAATCACCACTGGACAAACATATAATTTTTCAAGACCCAACGTAGATGATGAGAAAACATAGCTACTCAGGAGTATGTGTTATATGGTATAATTTACGTAATATTCAAAAGCATGAGAAAGGAATCAGTGGTGATAAAAATAGCAGCGCTTATCTACAGAGTGGGGATTGACCCGCAGGAGACTGCGGAGGGCTTCTGAGCTGCTCTTGCTCCTGTCTGGGAGAAGGGAACACAGGTGTGCACAGTTTATGAACATCCACTGAATTGTACACTTTTCTTCCTGACTGTTGTCCCCCCTTTCCCAGGTGAGGGTGCGTCCCTGGCCCTTCAGCCTGGCCTGGCTGTCCAGAGGTCGTCTCTCCCTGTACCAGGACGTGGTGCCATCTAACCCATCCCTGTTTCTGAGATGCATCAGTTAATTCTCCTCATTAGCATCACCTGGGAAGCTTTACACCTGCTCCCTAGTCTTGTCCCCAGAGGGCGTCTGCCCCCAGGGTTCGGGTGCAGATGCCTACTGGTTACATCTCAAGTAGTTCTGGTGGATGGGGGGCACTGAGCAAGGTCACTGCTTGTCAGCCTCCTCTCAGCAACACACATGCAGCTCATCCCCCTGCGCTCAGAAGTGGGCCACTTGGCCATCTTCCAGCTGCCGATCTTGAAAAATGGCATCTGCGTTACAAAGGAAGGATTCTGACGGGCGCTGGTGTAGCAGGACTTTGCAGGGATTCGGTGCAACTGATGTATCTGAAGGGAGACGCTGCCCTGGGCTGTGTGGCTGCTCGGACCCAGCCAGGGCCTGGGGTACAGAGAGCAGAGTCCAGCCCCAGACCAGAGAGAGAACAAACAGGAACCCCCCAAAGCCCACCCAGCCTGACTCGGGTGTGGCCAGAGCTCAGGTTCTGATGGAGACCCAGATCTGAGCAGACAACACTGGCGGCAGCAGGACTGCAGGACGGGGACAGGTGCCGGGCAGGGAAGGGCACCCGGGCAGGTGGGGGACACGCCGCTTGGGAGGGGACACAGGAAGCATCTGTGTAGATGCAGAGGGCAGGGTCTTCCTATTCTTTCCATGATTTGACTGCGACAGTGTAAAACAGTTCCTGCGTGAAGGAACGCAGAGTCAAGCAAAGGAGAGTAACAGACAAACACTGAAACAACACTGGCACAAATGGCACTGTGTTGAAATAATGCCATTTGCAGCAACATGGATGGACCCAGAGATTCTCATACTGAGTGAAGTAAGTCAGACAGAGACAAATACCATATGATATCGCTTATATGTGCAATCTAAAAAGAGGCTACAAATGAACTTATCTACAAAACTGAAATAAAGTCACAGATGTAGAAAACAAATTTATGATTACTGGGGGGTAAGGGGGAGCGGGATAAATTGGGAGATTGGGACTGACATACACACACTACTATACATAAAACAGATAACTAATAAGGACCTACTGTAGAGCACAGGGAACTCTACTCAGTACTCCGTAATGACCTATATGGGAAAAAAAATCTAAAAAAGAGTGGATACATGTATATGTAAAACTGATTCACTTTGCTGTACACCTGAAACTAACACAACATTGTAGATCAACTACACTCCAATAAAAATTTTTAAAAAAGAAAAACAACAACAAAAACACAGACGGCCCTGATGGAGAAAGCAGGCTCTACTGGAAACACGGGGAGGACGTCAAGCCTGGCCTGGGAGACGGGAGGGGCACGAGGAGGGTCCTGGAGGTGGGGCAGTCAGTCCTGACAAAGGACCAGCCCAGGCAGGGGACCAGACGCCAACGTCAGGGGTGGGGGCAGAGGGGACACCCCATGCAGCATCCCTGGGTGTGAGGGGCCGGACTGCAGGGGCCTGGCTGAGAACCGTGGACCTATCTTTCAGCCAATGATTAGTGACCTGGTTAGATCTGGATTTTAAAAACACATGAATTTGGTCAGATCATTATTGTGACAGTTGTTCATAAAGGAGTGATAGGCAACTAATGTCCAAATTACATTAAATTTCTGAACTCTGTAACCTTCACATTGACAAAGAACAACAAATATTGACTATTTACTGTGAATAACAAAGATGTTATTCTTTTTTTAAAAATTTTATTTATTTTATTTATTGATTTTTGGCTGTGTTGGGTCTTCATTGCTGCACGCGGGCTTTCTCTAGTTGCTGCAAGCAGGCGCCACTCCTCATTGCAGCATGCAGGCCTCTCATTGCAGTGGCTTCTCTTGTTGCGGAGCACAGGCTCTAGGCGCATGGGCTTCAGTAGTTGTGGCATGCCGGGTCAGTAGTCGTGACTTACAGGCTCTAGAGCGCAGGCTCAGTAGTTGTGGTGCACGGGCTTAGTTGCTCCGTGGCATGTGGGATCTTCCCGGACCAGGGCTCGAACCCGTGTCCCCTGTACTGGCAGGCAGATTCTTAACCACTGCGCCACCAGGGGAGCCCTGAGGGCGTTATCCTAAAACATGGTTTCACTTATACTTTACCAAGTAAAGGTAATACCGGAAGTCTTGAAAGAAAGATCTTTCAGTGCTGCAGGAATGGGACACCCTGAAATCTGCCAGAGGGGATTCTACAGAACAGCGTTCACAACAGATCAAACTAGTGAGGGCCAATTACTGAACCAATTACGTTTGAAAGGCACTCAGAATTCTATTTCAAACGCAGTCGGTATTGGAAATCTACAGATTCCAGAGGGATTGTGGCCAATTCTAGAGCTTTGTGATGTGTATTCAAAATGGTTCTCCACTTGAGCAGATTAAAGGGGTTCTAAAGGAGGTACGTCGATGAAGTGACTGAGACAGGGAAATCCTATAAGGAAATCACCACAAAGTGCTAACAGTGTGTCTATAATCTTTAATAGGTTCTCCTGTGATATGGTCCTAATTAGTGATTTCTCCAGAAAGGATTCATTTCTTGGAAAGAGCAAGTCGACAGATTCAGGACACAAGCATTACGGAGGGAGAGACACGCATTGTGGACCCTACACAGGAAAGCACATTCCTTCCTTAATATTTAAAATGCATTATCTGACAGTACTTCAGATCTCCTTGCAAAACCACCTGAAACCCTATCGAGGATACAGGGAGGTGGGTGTAAGGATGCTGTGTGGCACAGGTACATGCAGATGCGTGTGGTCAGCCCACACACGCGCGTATACCCCTTGGGCTTTCATCCTCAGCTAAAAAACAGGAGAACGTTATTAGCATCATTAATTAAAGAATATTAAATCAATAAGAAGAACATGATAAGCAGTAGTAGCAACAGGGTAAGTGGTTATCGGCACTGGATTTCCATACATTCCTGCTTTTAGGAGTTGATGCTATTTCACCATAAAAGTAAATTATATTATGGCATCAACCAAATTCACCTTAGATGCTACAATCAAAATAAGAGGAAAACTGAGCAATACTAAAGGAGAAAATTCATTGAGGCAATTGAAAAACTGGACCGATTATCTCACAGGTTGACACCTTGCTCTTGACATTCTCCTTCCTAATGTCGTTCATTCACTAATAAAAAAAACAAATAAACAAAAACAAAGCAAACAAAAAAACCCATAAAATCCTAACTAGCAGAAGTGTGTATGACACTGATCAGAACGTTTCTTATCTTGCAGCCTCCAGGCTGGAGTTGCCATCAAGGACGGGCCCCGAGGGACATACCTGGGCCACTGCCAGAGGTCCCCATGCAGCAGGGCCCTCAGGAGGAGAAGGACCATCCCTTGTACCGCCAGCTGCACAAAGATCCAGCCCAGGAAGCTCATCTCAAAGAGGCTCATGTACAAATCGATGCCAAAGTTGTGGGTCAGGTTGTATCTGATCTGATTGTAACAAGAGTTCTATCAGCCCTTGACCCAGGCAGAATTGAGGGAAAATAGTGAAGACCCACTTGAGGACGTCGCAGATGTTCTGCAAATTCTGTACAATGAAAGAAAGAGAAAGCAAATTAAGAGCTCTTTGTAGAGAAAGATTATAAAACCGCCAATTATATGTCTCATACTCAGTAATGTCCAGTTCTCCCTTATCACGCAAATTTACAGCTGTCCACAATGAGTAGTCTCAACTAGTGTGATCTGGAGACAATAGAAAATTCAATGAAGACTTTTAGGGGTATGTATTGTTATTATATTACAGTTTATTGTCTTCTGCATATAGACATGGGAAAACCATGAAAGGTTCATTTAATTTTCCCTTAGTTCTGGTCTTCACTGACTACCACAATTTACAGATTTCCTCCAGTCCTAAAGGAATGTATTAATCCCACTTTTCATAAAACTATGTCCCTGGATCAAATAATGTACGACATGAAAGATTTTTGTCTTCCTAGTTATAAGGTGGAAATAAGAGACTATTACAGCTTTTAAGTCAGGATCTTACAGTTCAGAAAATAATTAATAATGAGGACTTAGATCTGACTGTAAGGGATTCACACTGGTGTCTATTCCCATGTGAACAAAGCTGTTCTAAGGCATGACACTCAGCAAATAATCTACACGCGTGACGGGCGTGGCTACACAAATCCACGGAACAGCAATTTATGAGTGTCTAATTCACAATATGTGGCGACTGATCAAGTAGAGAAATAAATTACTGAAACTAGGAGTTTTTCATCTACCTACATCGCCCTCCCGTCAAAAGACAGCCTCGGCGGTGGGAGAGAGAGATGCTCCACATCCTGAGTTAGAACCCAAAATGCCTTTTCTGTACATATCAGCTTAGAAACTGTGATTTGGTAAAAAGTAAAATGCTCATATTAATATTGTCGTTTGTATACACAATGGTTAATACCAGTTACACTGGCATTTGATACTGGTCTGAAAATCTAGTCACCTTTCTTGTCTTATTCCGTGATTTCATAAGAATATATTGCCCCTTGAACCTACAAAGGAATATTTGAAATCACCCATTTATCACGTTGAGTTTTTTAAGCAAACTATATCAAAATAAAGAGCAAAGGAAAATAAAGACCTTAGCAACAGCAATGAAATGCCTTTTATTATCGGTTAACAATTGAGTTTGACCCATTTTTTTGCAAACAACTTCCTGCTTGCTGATTTCTCTCCAGGTGAGTGATGCTACTTATAACAGGAGGGAACAAAGCCTCCCACTCACCTTAGCCTTAGAATCTCAAGATTCCTGACCCTTCTCTTCTGTGTGTGACCCGTCCCCTGGGGCGGGGATTGTCTCCCTTGAGTCTGTCTTCCTCCCCCTTTAGTTCGTGACCAGGACCCACGTCATACCTGAGCTCCGATGGGGACGAGGGAAACCCTGTTCTGCCTCCTCCAATTTCAATGTTCTCCTCAAGCTAAAGCCAGTGACTCATTCTGCTAGCTGCTATTTAAAGGCTAAAGACACTAATACAGATTAGTGTCAATAATAGATCTATAAAAATCACCAAAATAAATTGTTTCACTGGATGCATAATGAATGTTTACAGAGCTCACTGCTTCTGTACAAACGTGAGGCACAACAACAGCAAATAAGATGAGCCGTCGCTGCAGAGCTGACCAATTCCTGGCGCGTCCGGGCACCAGGAAGGGAGCCCGTCCCGATGGAACAGGCCTCAGTCCCGGACTCGCCAGACACCGCTCCAGAACTGGGAGGCCGGGCCTTTCCCAGGCTGTTTCCTCAGCCCCTGAGTCGATCCAGCCCCAGGAGTAGAGAGGAACGGCATCCACATGGACAGCAGTGGTCAGGAGAGACCTGTGTGGTCAGAGCCAAGAAAGAAAGCAGGAAAGAAAAGTATGGAAATCCGGGGCAAAGGAGGGTGCAGACTATGAAATTCATTCCCACAGGCAGCTCAGGGGAGGCTGAGCAAGACAGTAGATGAGTTAAAGCAGACACGACCCCGGCAGGCCTCACCGGGAGGAGCATGGAAGGACAAGAGCGGGGTGTCAGAAGAGCTGGTTTCCACTGGACCTCGACGCCTGCTGGGATGACACCCAAAAGGGGCCTCTCGATGCAAACGGCCTGCTGGAGGGGTTCCCTGAGACAGGTACTTCCTCACCAGGAGTAATGGTCCTCGACTAGGAGTCCAGTCTCTTGGAGACCTCTGCTCCAACACCCTGAAAGCAGCAAATCTAAACATGCCCTGGGGCTCAGAGGGCAGAATCGCCCGGACAATCCAGACCTGTTGTGGCCTGACAGTGTGGTCTGCACGGGGGCCAATCCCACGCTGGAGCAGCTGACCCCGAAGAGAGGAATGTCTGACCCCTGTGCCCCTGATGCCAGCACAGGACACGCTCCACACACACAGCCACTCTTCCAACCATCGATTGGCAATTCACCCGCAAACAGGGATGCGCTGTGAACGCGCGGCTCAGCCTACCCTCCACTCACAAAGCGGGTACACAAACTGCTCATCTTGTGCCCGCTGCGGCCAGCCTGGCTCTGGGCTTATCAAGGCACAGGGGTTTCTGCGAAGCAGAGTCAGTGTCTCTTTCTGGAGGTAAAGACAGTGGAAACCAGCACATCTGCGCTGAGCTCCAGCTGGAAAAGCAACAGTAGTCTAGGCGTTAGTCCCAGAGCCTGTGGGAGGTCACTAACCTGAGCCTTGGAGACAAAGGCCAACAGCCAGGGCGTGACAGTCATCAGCATGGTGCAGAGGCCGAGGAGGAAGTTCAGGGAGATGTAGGAGATGAAAGCCACGTCCGAACTGAAGAAGATTCTGGAGATGAGATACATCCATGGAAGAGACGCGCATCTGAAATGTCAAGTGAAAAGTCGTGTTCCTTGTCCTGTAACACTTACTTCTATACATTGATTTAAAGATGAGATTTTGCTGGCCTGGTTATTTTTCCTCCCTCAGTGAACAGGAGCAATTGTTACTTAATAAATCCGGCAGTTATTTTCTAAAGACAAAGCACATTTTCCATAATATATGGGCAGAGCCCTGGGCAGGGTCCAACCCGGGCTAGGACGTGCGACCTGGAGAAAGCTCCAGTGTCCCCTACCGCACAGGGCAGGCCTGGCCTCCCTTTCTGCTCACAGCCTTCTCAGCAGAGCAGGGATACACCTGTTTTTCAGAGAAGATTAAATCACTAAAGCTACCAAGGGTGGGAAGCTCTATATAAAAAGAGGACGTACCATAGAACTGGAAAGCTTCCTTTCTGGGGTGCCCTGTGCGTGGGCTCCATGCCGTATGCCTCCAGGGTGTTCCCTGATCCTACAGCCCTGAAGGCGGGTGCACAGCCCCATTTCACAGATAGGACACGGGATGGACGCGGCTAAGATACCTGACCGAGGACCCACGGCTGAGAAGCAGCAGCTGAAAGCGGGGGTGATTTGTGTGTGAGCCCGAAGCCGTGGCATGAGGGCTGGATCCGAGAAGCGGCCCCCGGAAGTCTCAGATGACCTCACACTCTAAGAAGGTGCCCAAAATGGTCCTCTAAAGAAAATACCTCTTCCTTCTTCCTTCTCCAGGGCACAGAGCCAGGGCTCATTCGCGGCCGACTCACCTCAGGCTCCTCTGTGACCCCCACCCTGCCCCGCCCCAGGAAAGGAAGCCGCAAGTACCGGCAGAAGAGTCACTTACTTTATTGTCTTTATTTTTATTCTTTCATGCAGCATTCTTCCCATTTTCATGGAAAGGAACAGTCAACAAAAGTTTATCAATTGAAAATATATTAGGTCGTTATAAGAACCATGATGATATATGTATACATTTATGAATACGGTCTGCTTTACTGACAGAATGTATGAAACAGCTGAAGTCACTGACTTTAAGTCACGACCTTTCTCTGAAGACCCCGCGTGCTGCCATGTGCTCTCTGCACACTCAGTGCAGACCTGTCACCATTTTCTCAGGCTGATTTAGTGGTTTCACTTGAAATACCTTGGTAGCTTCTAAATGCCTGAGGTTTCGTTAATATGTTAAGTAGCTCTGAAAAGCATGAGACTTCAAAATGACGCTAGGCCCTCGAGATAGCTTTTGATTTGAGTACGGTTCCTTTTCCACATGAAATCTATGGTATTCGTCCCTGGGTCAAAAGATACACCCTCGTATTTCAGAAAATAGGAGATATATATATATATATATATATATATATATATATATGTGTGTGTGTGTGTGTAATAGTATACATAAAATCATATAGTTGTCAACAGCAGTCTGCTTCATAATTCAGGCGTGAAGAAAACGGTTCTCGAGCATACAAGGTAGAGGTGAGTGCTTTAATGCAACTGCTCTTAAATATCAATGCTTGGTTCAAATAAACATATTGGTGGCTCCAGTCTTCCTGTTTTTTTCTTTTCAAGGAAAGAATTAAATTGGCTTAAAGTGCATAATTTATTTTTTGGTAAAACATACGGTAGCTTCAAGCTACCGTATTTTAACGATTAAACCTGGAGTGTGGCAGCCCGCTCATAACTACTCTACCGTTTATGGGGTTTTCCTCCCTCTGAAACCGGTCCCACCTCCACATTGCAGGATTTTCCAGACATGGACCAGGATTCTGTGACCTCATCTTCATAATCCTTTAGTACTAAATGTGCACCAAGTATGCGGTTAAGGTTTCCATTTTTTATATAAGCCAGATTCTCTTTTCTGTCTGAGATTTTCAGGTGTTATTTTTTTCTCTTTTGATGTGAATTCTCCTCCCTTTCCAGCTTGAATATCAAATTTTCCTCCACAGAGAGAAAGAAAATAAAGAAAAGATAAAGGAAAATTGTAACTGGGCACTTTGTCCTATTATGTCTTGTGAGAGTCTATTCATTTACACATTCCCCAATGTTTCCAGATTCCAGACAAACAGCCCCGTTTAACGCCTGACCGTGTTCTTGGTCTCAGCTTATTCTGGGATGCAGCCTTTCTGTGATGGTTCTGGGCTCCTCGTGGGGACAGGATTGCGAGCCGGCACTCTCATCCACTGGGGTCCCAAGGGCCCCTCCTCTTGCTGGGGGGTCACCGTGTCAGGTTGTGTGCAGGCCTGGCCTCCAGTGGAGGAAGGACCACCCTTTAAACCTGAACTAGCCCCTGGGGGGGTCACCCTGAGAGTCCGGTCAGCTCCCCCGTTGCTCTCGTCCACTGGAACCGGCCTGGGGCACCTTTCCAGGTCCTCTGGGCCCCTCTCACCTAAGACCCCTCCATCTGAGATGGCCACCATGTTGGGCCATGAATGTAACTCGAGAGACCTGTGAGTCCCCTGAACTTGTTTGAAAAGTGCTGTAATCATGAATGTGGACAGAATTCTAGCTTAATTCAGATTCTTAAAGGAAGCAAAGCAAACAAGCAAAACAAGGTTAAGGAAAATTGCTAAAACTACGTTTTTTTAAAGAGCCTCTCACCATGTGACTTTGTCTGAGTTTCACCTTAATTTTTGAAATCTGCTCTCTAAAGTTCAAAAATAATTTACAGCAAAACATATTTTACTCACACTATAAGGAAACATGACCACAGTATGCATTCAACTGGATCAATAAACTGAAATCAAATCATTTCTTTAGAACCAGGAGCCCACATATGTAGATCGTTATATCCAGCTGAGTATAGAAAACATGTCTCTACTATAGGCATGCTTTAGAGCTTAAGACATAATATCCTCTAAATATTAAAATAATTCTTATAGTAACAATAACAGCTAAAAGTAATTTAATGGGAACCCTTGACGGCCACTGTAGAGGAGGTTTATGTGAATGACCTAATATCCTCTTCACAGCAACAGAATTGTATTCTACACGGAAGAAAGCGAGGCTTAGAGAGAGAAATGAACACTTCCAAGGTCACAGAGTTAGTGGCAATGTCCGTATTCCTAAAAAGGTTTCTCTGTCTCTCTCTTTGTACCCCATCTATCCATCCACCCATCCATGTATCTATTTATCCAATAATGATATAATTTGTCCCTAATTAGATGCTTTGAATAAGTCTGGATCACTGATACAACTGTCACCTATGTAAAAATCATGTTACTTGTAATCTTTGGCTTAGAAAAAAGCAGAGTGCTCTGTTTAAAATAAATATATTAGCCTTAAATTAAAATAAATCAGCACTTTAATTATTTTCCCTACTATTAGCAAGTATCTCTCACATACTTAGCCTAGATCTACAGCCAAATATGCATGACCTGTAAGAGAGGATGACATTATGCATTCCTGATACCCGGCAGGTATAATCTGGGGACTGCTAACAACGATCCTTATTAGTGTGTTCAAACGAGAAATTTGTAAAATGACTTTTCTGGTTTTGCTACTTTTCCTGCGAGAAAAGAAAAAGTGATAGAAGTTAGACAAAACATTTCCAAACTACTAATGTCAGGAGAGAGAAAACTACAGCAGACATAGAGCTTCACGGGCTCCCCGAGGACAGTTTTGGAGCTGAGTGAGTAACGGACACTGAGCTGGAACCAAAGCCACTGCCATCACCCACCCCCCGAGCAGGGGCCCCAGGCGTCCTGCTCAGGCTGGTCGGCTCCACGCCACCGGAAGAAGCAGCATAATTGCTTGGAAAGAGAGAAAACCATGAAGCCGACAGCAGGTTCAAAGCCGCCCCAGGGGGCTCTGTCCTTCAGAAAACACACCATAATTCTGCAGCTGTGCTTCTCATCACATACCCAAAAAGTGCCAGCAGGAGGGCCGTGGCTGCCAGGTTCTCCCGGAAAGTGAAAGCCGTTAACTGGAAGGTGAGGATCACAGCGACACACAGGCAGACAGAAACCAAGTAAAAGAGCTGAGAAAATCAAGGGAAGAGGGCCTGTTACGTCAGGGGCTTGTATACCACCATCTCTGGACCCTCCGGCTCTCAGGTCAGCTCCAGCTTAGGTCTGTGTCCTGTGTGGCCCGGCACACGGTCTGCAGCAGCAGACTTGGGCCTGGAGAGTCCCCTTCCAGATCCATGTTAAAAGAGGTCATTAAGATGGGCTTGGATCCCACAGGGCTGCTGTCCTCGTGAAAAGAGGAGGTGAGAACACAGGGTGAGGGCACACAGAGGGCGGCCGTCCACGTGCCCAGGACAGAGGCCTCAGGGGGCACCAGCCCTGCCACACCTGGATGCAGGTCTTCCAGTCTCCAGAAGGCAATTAGACAAATGTCTGTGCTCTGTGCCTCTCCGCAAGCCGGGGGGCCACTAACACGGCCGCCCACACCCACCTCCCACGGGGAAGGGGCAGGAATCCAGCCCCCTCCCAGGACACACAGCTTCTTCCCACACTCAGAACCAAGGGCAGATCCCCCGCCCGGCAGCCAGCACCTCTCCACCGCGGGCTGACAAACCCCGGCCTCCCCTGGGGGCTTGCTCGCCAGCCCCCCTTCTCTGGCTGCAGGAACCCTCCCCAGCTTTGCTCTGAAGTCACCCTCGATCCCATGACCCTCTTTCATTCTCTTGATAAACCTAGTCACAAGCCAATTGCATCTTGTGTATTTATTTATTTTTACTTGGTTATTTGTTTTCTGCTTCCACTCACAAGGACACAAGTTCCTCAAGACGGAGACCCTCTCTGCTTTGTTCATGGCTTTGTCCCCAAGACCTCAGACACACGTCCAGGAAACCGCCCTGCTTCTATGGATCACGTGGGGCAGCCACACACCCACACACACGCAGGTATGTGCACACACATGTCCCCCGGGTGCAGGGACACAGAGGGACATGGCCCCGGGTCCTACCATGTCACACAGGAAGATCGTGAGCCAGTAGGTCCTGTAGCCCAGGCCGCTCACGTGCTGCAGCCTTGTGGCCCCAATCACCCTGTCCCGCACACGGAGCTGCTGATGGACGCGCACAGGATGGAGAATCCAAGCACGATGCACAGGGTGATGCCGCACTGGCGGAAGCTCTCCAGGCTGCAGGCAGAGCAGAATGGCCATCAGAGGCTGGCGGGGACCCGTCAGTGATGAGGGTCACAGCGGCCGGAACCATTAATTAGATGCAAACTATTACATACAGGATGGATAAACAACAGGGCCCTGCTGTAGAGCACAGGGAACTACATTCAGTATCCTCTGATAAACCAAAATGGAAAAGAAGACGAAAAAGAATATGTATACGTATAACTGAGTCACTTTGCTGTACAGCAGAAATGAACACAACGTTGTAAATCAACTATACTTCAATAAAGTCTAAAAAAAGAATCTTTCATTCACTTTGAAAAAATGTTGAACAAAATAGATCAGGCATCCCTTCTCTATTGACTTATAAGAAGGTTTCACAATATCAAGAAAATTAGCTGCTGTTAGATGTGTAGCAAATATTTTTCTGTTTCTCCCTTCACTTCTTAAAGTTTATTTTTCAACACAGGATTAACTTCCATTTATAGATTTATATTTATATAAATTATATAACACATTCTTTACTTTCACTTTATAGGCTTTGCATAGAAAACTTTCAGTTAGCCAAAATTACAAAAATATTCAGACCTTTTCTTCCATTCTCTTAATGCTTTACCTTTAACTGTTTGTTCCATGTTGATTTTTTTTAACATCTTTATTGGAGTATAATTGCTTTACAATGGTGTGTTAGTTTCTGCTTTATAGCAAAGTGAATCAGCTACACATATACATATATCCTCATATCCCCTCCCTCTTGCATCTCCCTCCCACCCTCCCTATCCCACCCCTCTAGGTGGTCACAAACCACCAACCTGATCTCCCTGTGCTATGTGGCTGCTTCCCACTAGCTATCTATTTTACATTTGGTAGTAAGTATATGTCAATGTCACTCTCTCACTTCGTTCCAGCTTACCCTTCCCCCCCGCCGTGTCCTCAAGTCCATTTTCTACATCTCCTTCTTTATTCCTGTCCTACCCTTAGGTTCTTCAGAACCATTTTTTTTGTTGTTCTTGTTTTTAGATTCCATATATATGTGTTAGCATGCGGTATTTGTTTTTCTCTTTCTGACTTACTTCACTCTGTATGACAGACTCTAGGTCCATCCACCTCACTACAAATAACTCAATTTCGTTTCTTTTTATGGCTGAATAATATTCCATTGTATATATGTGCCACAACTTCTTTATCCATTCATATGTCGATGGACACTTAGGTTGCTTCCATGTCCTGGCTATTGTAAATAGAGCTGCAATGACCATTGTGGTACATGACTCTTCTTGAATTATGATTTTCTCTGGGTATATGCCCAGTAGTGGGATTGCTGGGTCATATGGTAGTTCTATTTTTACTTTTTTAAGGAACCTCCATATTGTTCCCCATAGTGGCTGTATAAATTTACATTCCTGCCAATAGTACAAGAGGGTTCCCCTTTCTCCAACCCTCTCCAGCATTTATTGTTTGTAGATTTTTTGATGATGGCCATTCTGAGTGGTGTAAGGTGATACCTCATTGTAGTTTTGATTTGCATTTTGCTAATGATTAGTGATGTTGAGCATTCTTTCATGTGTTTGTTGGCAATCTGTATATCTTCTTTGGAGAAATGTCTATTTAGATCTTCTGCCCATTTTTGGATTGGGTGGCTTGTTTTTTTGATTTTGAGTTGCATGAGCTGCTTGTAAATTTTGGAGATTAATCCTTCGTCAGTTGCTTCATTTGCAAATATTTTCTTCCATTCTGAGAGTTGTCTTTTTGTCTTGTTTACGGTTTCCTTTGCTGTGCAAAAGCCTGTAAGTTTCATTAGGTCCCATTTGTTTATTTTTGGTTTTATTTCCATTTTTCTAGGAGGTGGGTCAATAAGGATGTTGCTGTGATGTATGTCATAGAGTGTTTTTCCTATGTTTTCCTCTAAGAGTTTTATAGTGTCTGGCCTTACATTTAGGTCTTTAATCCATTTTGAGCTTATTTTTGTGTATGGTGTTAAGGAGTGTTCTAATTTCATTCTTTTACATGTAGCTGTCCAGTTTTTCCAGCACCACTTACTGAAGAGGCTGCCTTTTCTCCATTGTAGATTCTTGCCTCCTTTATCAAAAATAAGGTGACCATATGTGTGTGGGTTTATCTCTGGGCTTTCTGTCCTGTTCCATTGATCTATATTTCTGTTTTTTTGCCAGTACCATATTGTCTTGATTACTGTAGCTTTGTAGTATAGTCTGAAGTCTGGGAGCCTGATTCCTCCAGTTCCATTTTTCTTTCTCAATATTGCTTTGGCTGTTTGGGGTCTTTTGTGTTTCCATACAAATTGTGAAATTTTTGGTTCTAGTTCTGTGAAAAATGCCATTGGTAGTTTGATAGGGATTGCATTGAATCTGTAGATTGCTTTGGGTAGTATAGTCATTTTCACAATGTTGATTCTTCCAATCCAAGAACATGGTATATCTCTCCCATGTGGATTTTATTTTAGGTAAAAATTTTATTTGAGGGCTGCCCTGGTGGCACAGTGGTTGACAGCCCACCTGCAGATGCAGGGGACACGGGTTCCTGCCCCAGTCCAGGAATATCCCACATGCCGCGGAGCGGCTGGGGCCGTGAGCCATGGCCACTGAGCCTGTGCGTCCAGAGCCTGTGCTCTGCAGTGGGAGAGGCCACAACAGCGAGAGGCCTGTGTACCGCAAAAGAAAAAAAAGTTTATTTGAGGTAAAAATGCAGATGTACTCATTTATTTTTCAAATGCCTAGTGAGCTCTGTCAACATTGTAAAAATAAATGTATTTCCTCAAAAAAAAAAGTACTTAGGACCAGCCAGCGTATTGGCTAAGGGTGTGGATTCTCTCTTTAAATCCCCTCAATGACCTTTTGAGGCCTGGGTTACACTCCCAGGGGCCTAGAGGACACACAGAGGAGAGTGAAGGTGAGAGGCAGGTCCCCGTCTGCCCACCTGGAGCCCAGTCTTGACACTGAACCCACCTCCTAGGCAAAATGAAAGGCTCCTGCGTAGTGGCCTCCACGCTGAGCGTGGCCTCTGCCCTCTTAGGGCCACCTTACTGGACAATAGCTCTTGCAGGCAGGGGTGGTGTTTTGCTCCACACATGGCAGCCCCACCTCTGAATCTAGTCTTTCAAAACACCAGAATATTCTCTAGTAGATGGAGGTGCTTGGCGATGACATGCACTGTACTTTCTGTGTCACTTTTAACTGGAGCACCAACACCTCTGGTCCATCACTGCCTCCCTTTTGGGGACGGTCAGGGCACAGCTGCCTCTGGTAATGCACAGATGCAATGGCTCAGCTCAAAACCTCCATCACATCTTACTTCATAACCAGGGTCAATGGACGGTCAGGGCACAGCTGCCTCTGGCAATGCACGGATGCAACGGCTCAGCTCAAACCCTCCATCATGTCTTACTTCATAACCAAAGTTGATGCGCCCATACTTAGAATCCCGACAGGTGTCAGCTAAAGGAAGGACCCCGAGAGTCTGTATATGAATATGAGGACCACCTGCTGCATTCGGGATGAGAGGGGAGATCACCCATCAACCAGATCTGTGTTCTCCCACTCTTTCAGGTAGGTCGCAGAAAGTACATAAAAAATACTTCTACTTATCAATTTTTAGCTAAAAGTTTGTCCACCGTATGGCAGGGAAGGGAGATGGGGAAAAGGAGGAGACACTTAGGTCTGCACATAAAGGACACTAGCCTCATCAGCACCGTCTCCGTCTGGACGGTGAGGACAGACTTACAGGAGAAACTGTCAGGAGGCATCACTATGTCTACCTCTGTAAATGCCATGTTTAAAACTTTAACTTGAAAAAGATGTTGGGTCCCATGAGCTTTGGCAAATCAGCCCCTTAGAACTATTGCTACTTAGAAATAAGCTGCACGACATGCTTATCCATTTTTGTTTTGTTTTGTTTTTGTTTTTGTTTTTATGTTTTGGCTGCGTTGGGTCTTTGTTGCTGTGCGCGGGCTTTCTCTAGTTGTGGCGAGCGGGGGCTACTCTTTGTTGCGGTGCGTGGGCTTCTCACTGCGGTGGTTTCTCTTGTTGCAGAGCCCAGGATCTAGGTGGGTGGGCTTCAGTAGTTGTGGCACATGGGCTCAGTAGTTGTGACTCACAGGCTCTAGAGCACAGGCTCAGTAGTTGTGGCGCATGGGATTAGTTGCTCCGCAGCATGTGGGATCTTCCCAGACCAAGGCTCGAACCCATGTCCCCTGCACTGGCAGGCAGACTCCTAACCACTGTGCCACCAGGGAAGCCCTGCTCCTCATCCATTTTAGACTCATTTAGACTTAGCACACTCAGTCAATGCACTTTCTCCTTTAACCATCCCTGTCCTCACACTTTGCACAGAAATGCCCAAGCCTTGTTCCACTAGGTGCACCTGCCAACCTCACTCAGTGCAGAAGCAGAAAAGGGATGAGAATCACCCCTAACAACCCAGAGATGTTGGTCCACATTTGGCCCCCCCACCAAGTGTTCCTTTAACTCACAACTTTTCCTCGTTCAGCAAGGCTCCTCCATATGGGTGGCTGTAGAGCGTGATTCCTATGAAAGACAAGTTGAAAGTGAGCCTGCAAGTCTCTGCCTGTTGTCCGGGGACAGCCCCCCTCCCAGACACCCGGGGCACTGTGCCCAGTGTCACCTGCCCACCTGGCCTGGTCCCTCCACCCCCCCAAATGGAAGGTCCCATCCAGCAGTTCAGCCACTCTGTGCTGGGACCTCTGTAGTCGCCGCTCCCAGAAATCACCCGCATGTACTGAACACACCTGCGCTACGTCACAGGCACTGTGCTAACATGTCACCACACTGTACCGTCCAGTCCCTGTGGCTTAAGTGATGTATCATCCATAATGTACTGTGCGGAAACAGACTCAGGAAGGCCAAACAACAAACGCCAATGGGATTATTTGATGGAAACCAGGGCAATACTCAAAAATTCACCTCTAGAACAAGCCAGGTGTAGACAGAAAACTGAAGCACTTCATGGGTCTGGTTTTGTTTTAGGAGTTTTGTTTTGCTTTTTGGGGCTTCTGCATTAGCGTAATGATAGCAGGCAATATGGAGAAATTGCCATCAACTTACCTATTAAAACGGTTTCATCGTGAAGGCTGCTCATGACACCCACACGTGCTCTCAGCGCCCACAAACTCCAGCCATGCTGTATTGAGAAGAACTCCAGGGCTTCAGGCATTTCGTCTTATTGTCAACGATAAGACCAATCACGTTTCCTGCTCTGATTGGCCGTTTCAGGCGCGTGGAAGCCATCCCAGCATCCCTGCCCCACCTCACGTGCTTCCCCTATGCTCCTCCTCCTCCTGTGGCTCGAATTTGGCCTGTCGCAATCTGCACTCTCTTACGAGGGCACATCAAATCTTTACAGAAACACACGGGAAAGAAGTGAAGATAAATAAATGAAAGGTCTGGTGCCGGAACGGACTTCAGAACTCGGGGTCCCACCAGTTCTGCCACCGGGCATCCTGACCCCCTTCCACCCATCCCCCTTCCCGCTCCAGCCACACCAGCCCTTTTCTCCTCCTTCCTGGTCTCAGCCACGCACCACAGCAAGTTCTTTCACAGCAAAAAGAACAGTGGGAGCTATGGTGCAGCAAATAGCCCCCCGCACAGTTTCCAGAACGATTTCTGGACTCTGAACTCATACCGTCTGAGTGCTCTGCTGCAGGCTCCCAGGGTGTATGCCGAATGCGCACAGTGGGTTTCCCACCTCCGACACTTGAAGTACACGTTTGCCACGAGCTGAATTGCCCTTCTGGACCACTGACACCACCTTTATGTCTTTCTTTCCCTGAACGAGCCTCCACTCCCTCCTTAGGTATCTGCAAGCTCCCGTTCCTTCCAGCTTCCAGTCATGGGACAAGCGGCCCAGCACCCACCAGCCCTGTCAGGAGGCAGCCCCATAGCTAAGGGACTGAGGACCGTGTTTATAATGTGCAGGTGCTGCCGAAACCCAGCAAGGGCCCCACGGCACGCCAGAGCCTGAGGGGGCGAGTTTGCAGTGCTGTGCACTGCTTGGGGCTACGTGGATGAATGAGCGTGCTGTAGGTGAGAAAACATCCAGAGAAATGCAGCTAGCTGAGGGACGGTTTGGAAATTATATTATTTTGGGAACACGAAAGTATATTGGACTTGCCTAATCTGAAAATACCCCTGGGGCAAGAGGGAGCTGGAAAATGCCTTCAGGTAGCTACAGGATTGTCATGAGCACAGATGACGGACTTGATCTGTAACGTTCTGGAGGAAGAAGACAGTCCAGGGAGATAGATTCAAAATATATTAAAAAAAAAAAAGCATGTGGTCTAGAGGGTTGAAACTCTGGGCCAGCCTGACCTCTGAGGGGAGAGGGTGAGTCTTAAGCGCCTCTGTGTTTGTCTGGCCCTCCCGACTTGCATCCTTTACAATAACACTGTGGCTGTAGGTCCATTGCTTCCCTGAGTTCTGTGAGCTTCTAGTGAATTCTGTAAGGGGATGGAGTCCTGCAAACCCTCAAGGCTGCAGTGAGGCGGTCACAAGTGGGGCTTGGCTCGGTACCCTTGAAGAGCGGCTGGTGTCAGAGGTGAGGCGGCCTTGTTGGGGACGGTGCCCTCCGACCTGTAGGGTCTGCATCAACTCCAGTGGTTGGAGTCTCACTGAGCTGCCCTTCATGCAGCCAGACGGCACACAGCACACTCCTCGGCTCCGCATCTAGAGGGCACAGAGGCAGGCATGGGGTCCCCCCCCGGGTTCCCTGCTCTGCCCCCACTCTCCTTGGGGCTTCTCCAGCCTCCCCTGCTGGCTGCGGATGTCCCCTACATCTGCCCCGCACACCGCAGGGTCTTATTTCCAGAACAATCTGTGTCAGCTGCCGACGTGCTCCTCCTTCAGCTTCTCCACGGCTGTTAGTGTCCCACGTCCTCCCAGCCCCCAGGCTCAAGCACTGAGTCATCATCGTCCCCCCTCTCCCGCACCCCACAGATCCAACACGTCCCTGCACTGTGTCCAGTCCACATCCCCTCCACGCCACAGCCCCTGAGCCATCCTAACCCACATCGCCTGTCAGCTCTCCTCCCCTGGCATCACCACCCTCCCTCCAGCCCTAGAGAATTTCCAGTAAGAAAAAGAAAATGTAGCGTCCGTATTCTTTATCTGGACGTGGATGCTCTTGTCACTCTGCTGTCCCACTGCTCCCACCTGAAGAACTCTACTGCTGCCATGTTCCCACATGCCAACCCCAGGTGTATCTCACCTTTGCCGTGTTCACCACCCCGAGCCCTCCGTACCTCTGCTCCGTCTGCCCCGGGACAGGGTTTGTTTCTGACCACCTTCCTGCAGAGGGACCCAGAGGCATAGAGGGAACAGAGGTGGATGCGGTTCTCAACATCCTTGTGAGCAGAGGACAGGCTGGTACCCAAAGGAAATGCAGGTCAACCTGTGGTCACGTGATATGTGTTGGTCAGGACATTCGGCTATTAGTCTAAATTCTTACACAGCAGCATTGTCACAGCCATGACAGAAGCAGCCTCTGGAACGCGGAGGTTTGTGAAAGTTTCCCAGGACTCAAGCCCTGGGCTGCGGGCGCCACAACCCACATCCCCACCAGTGTGTCCCGTGCACTCCTGGTTCTGCAAGTCTGCATCTGCATCTGTGCAGGGAAGGAGGTGGCAGAGGGCAAACGGCCCTCCCTTGCTGGTTCTGCAGTGAGAAGCTGCAGGCCACTTTGTGGCGAGTTCAACAATGAAATTTTAAACGACTGTGGCTGGACCTTTATTTTCATCCAGCTGCATAAATATCTGTACTTGCTTTAAACCATTAGAGTAACCATGGAAAGTTTACGAATGTTCTCTAATATTTGCTTTCTGTGCCCTCTTTCCTCTGTTATGAATTTATGGCCCTTCATTTTCACCCACATCCTGGATTTTGTCATCCTTTTAGGGTTTTCGTCTGGGAGGCGAGGGTACCCCAGTCCCTTCCTCACTAATGAAGTGACTGAGTGCTCCTGGGGTTGGCAATGCCACCATGTGCCAGGCCATGTTCTGAACACTTTCAGTATCTCCTCATTCAGTGTCTGGTGGTAGATGATGTGATTCAGAGACCAGGACAGCGTGCATGGCCTGCAGATCCTCCAGGAAGGGGCCTCCCAGGGAGCGGCCCAGCCTGGACTCACCCCTATTATCCAGAGGCTGAATAGGGAGCAGAGGAAGAGCCAGTGACCTGCTCCTGACACAGGCAGCAGCCAAGCATCCAGAGTCCCAGGGGAGGCTCGCTCACCAAATCACAGGACATGGGGAACCTTGTGTCTACACGGAGAACTTTGTGTCTACAAGGAGAACCTTGCTTCTACTCAGAGAACCTTGTGTCTACACGGATAACCCTGCGTCTACACAGAGAATCTTGCATCTACATGGAGAACCCTGCGTCTACATGGAGAACCTTGCTTCTTCACGGAGAAGCTTGCCTCTACGCGGAGAACCTTGTATCTACACAGATAACCCTGTGTCTACACGGAGAAACTTGTGTCTACATAGAGAACCTTGTGTCTACGTAGAGAACCTTGTGTCTACAAGGAGAACCTTACCTCTACTCGGAGAACCTTGTGCCTACACGGATAACCCTGTGTCTACACAGAGAACCTTACATCTACACAGAGAACCTTGCATCTACACAGAGAACCTTGTGTATACATAGAGAACCTTGTGTCTACAAGGAGAACTTTGCCTCTACTCAGAAAACCTTGCGTCTACACAGAGAAGCCTGCGTCTACACGGAGAACCCTACGTCTACACGGAGAACCCTGCGGCTACACTGAGAACATTGCTTCTACATGGAGAAGCTTGCCTCTACACGGAGAAGCTTGCCTCTACACGGACAACCTTTCGTCTACATGGAGAACCTTGCGTCTGCACGGAGAACCTTGTGTCAACAAAGAGAACCTTGTGTCTACACGGGAGCTGCAGTGGGTGCCAACAACACACCAGTGAGAAGCAGGAAGCAGCCTGACCCACATGGTACAGAGGCTGCCCTCCCTCCCTGGGTCCTCTGCTCAGAAATCTCTCAGGCCCCAGCTTTCCATTCAGCACTGGCTTTCGAGTCCCATCTTTTGCATATTTTACAGAGTAAATATTTTAATCTAATCTCCTGAAGACTCGCATGCCTGGGGTCCTCTCCAGGGACCTGCAGGGAGTCCTACCAGTCCTGGATCTGGCACCTGCTTGGTGCTCAAGGCCACAGGGAGACTGAATCTCACATCCACCCGGAAATTAGAAATTCTCTTTAAAAGTAAGAGATGGAGAAAGAAAGGGCCTGAGACCACAGTGTTTGAGAATGGAGACCATTACATCAGCAGGAAAATCCCTCCATAGGCTTTCAGAGACCCAACTCTCCTGCTGGGCATTTACCACCAGCTTTTCTAAGACAGCAGCTCCCCACTTTGGACCCCAAGTCAAACGACATTCTGATTTTATTCTGATTTGGGGTGGAAATCTGGGCACCAGACATCAGTGGAGCTTCACCAATGGTAAAGAGCGATTGGACACTTCTTCATTCCAAGGGCT